TATTGAGTGAACTTTATTATTTATATAAAAAAACAACTGAGTTAACCTCACTGCCCATACAAGAAGTATTGAGTGAACTTTATTATTTATATAAAAAACAACTGAGTTAACTTCACTGCTCATATAAGGAGTATTGAGTGAACTTTATTATTTATATAAAAAAAACAACTGAGTTAACTTCACTGCTCATATAAGGAGTATTGAGTGAACTTTATTATTTATATAAAAAAAACAACTAAGTTAACCTCATTACCCATACAAGGAGGATTGAGTGAACTATACTATTTATAGAAATATCCAACGAAATCCACAGCAGGAGAGAATGTGAACAGTGAAAAATAAATAAACGATTCATCAGAGTTCATCATGAGACAGACAAACATATCACTATTTAGAAAAATAACAAACTAAAACTACGGAATTACAAACAAGAGCAAGATTAGAATTCACGTGAAGAGAGTTTCTTTAGAACACTATATATCAAGTGTACCGAGTGTGAGAGGCATTAAATTAAACTATTAAAGGGAAATTGAAAGTTTTGATATTATACCTAGGAGGAGGCAAAAACCACTGTTACAAAACAATGACAATAAGTTCCTCAATTTTCATGTTTTTTTTTTTTTTTGCACATTAGGCACTTCTTACTTGAAATACCGATGACTGGTTATCAAGTCTATGTCTGTAAATGGAGATTTGGTAGAAGTGGCTTTACATCTCTAATAGTATGTGACATGTCACCTCAATATGGAGTAAAATAACCAGCACAGGCATTCTGAAACTGATGTTACATGGTTAAAAACGGTGTTTTCTGAAAGAGTTGTTTAGTGGCCGGAGTTACATGACGGGATGCAAACTGTTTCCCAACGACATCACGGGACCGAAACCTTGTAATATTTAGTATAGTGGAGATGAGCATTATAGCTCAGTAGACTGAAGTAAATTGCACCAGTGTATAACAGCCAAAAGATCGTCGTATGTGGTCCTTGTACCTGTTATACGTGGCATTAATAATACAGGATGTAGAGGCGAAAACCAAAGTTTATTCCTGACCATATAAAGATTCCATAATCTTATTCGTCATGTTAATAATGGTTGGAGACGGCTTGAATGGGTAATGAAGAAAAATTGTAATATAAGTTTAACATAATAGCAAATGTACAACGTTTCGACAAGGTTTTGTCATCATCAAACTGTTATATTAAACTTATATTAAAGTTTTCCTTCATTACCCATTCAAGCCGTCTCCAACCATTATTAGTCTCAAAGCTGGTTCCTCGTCATCGAATTTGTATTCGTCATGTTGTATGTAAATAAGATTAGATCGGGTTTCATTTTTCTCAAAAGGTTTTTTATGCCTTTTATCTGGCTGCAGGGCGAAGCACGACTCACATGTTAAAAATATGACTCCACATATTGTTTTTTAAGTGTTCTTGGTACTATTGCAGACTATTTATCTTGTGCCTTGCACTACATCATCTTAGGTATCTGGCATACAGATCAATCTTGTAAAACACGTGTCTGATCTCTGTATACTAACATGGCTACCAGTTGCAACTGCGAACACTTGATTAAGTTTGTTGTTTTTATTTGTTGTCGAATCTCGCCCAAAGCTGCTCGAAGGTTATCTGCGCTAGTAGTCTCTAATTTTGAAGTCATGGACTAGAGGAAAGGCAGCTATTTAACACCACTCACTGCCTATTCTTAGGCTATTCTAACAGAGGAGTGGGGTTTGATCTTCACTCTAAAAACTCATCCACAGCCCCAAAGTGTGGAGCTTATTATAGAGGAAACGGGGCGCGAACCACGGACTATCGGATACAAAGTCTGGGCTTTACTCAACCCTTTGATTCGATATCGGAACAGGCACCCAACGATTATGGTGAGTCAGAATCGATTGAGCGATCATCTGATTATGTCGTTGATGATAGTCTGCGTTGTCCAGGTGTTCGAGCAACTGTAAGATTGGTTTGAAAACGGTTACAAATCATCCTGACGACACTTTGAAAGAATCAGTTTTATTTTGTGCTTATTTATTTAGCAGTATAAGACTAGAGGGAAAGCAGCTAGTCGTTACCACCCACCGTGAACTCTTCAGCTACTCTTTTACCAACAAATAGTGGGATTGACCGTCACATTATAACGCCCCACGGCTGAAAGGGCGAGCATGTTTGGTGTGACGGGGATTCGAACCCGTGACCCTCAGATTGCGAGTCTGGCCATGCCGGGCCGTGTCTATGAGAAATAAACAGAATGTAATATTGATTTATTTGTTTATTTCTTTTCACCAACAAGACATAAATACGAGGCCATATTTATTTATTTTCTTCACTCTTCCAAACAGCACTGATGAATCGTGAATACAGCGAAATTGGTCTGTTGTAGCTAGAGTAGCTAATCAAAGTTTACATTAGGCTTCTGCATCATCTTTTGTTCACCGAAATTCAGAACTGGCGAAGAAAATAAGTTAATGAATAAATAATTAACCAGTTAGTTCGCTGAATAATTATAGATAATTAATTGTCACGTATATATACAAATACCTAAAGTATTTTTAATTATTTGTGGAGAATAAAGGACTATACATCCAGATCAAACGAACTGCTTTTACTATTTTAAAATATTTTTAAATAATAAGTCCTATATTACGTAAGCATTATTGTATCCACTAAGCCTTCTCTACGTCGTTCCCAACTTAAAAGTTTCTTATAGTTTTAAATTTCTTTACCTCAAAATATTTATGTAATATTAGTTACGCTATTTTTATGTATGTATAAACGAAGGACAGGGACCTTCTCTTAAAAAAAAGTTATGTCTCTATTTAAATAATGTTTTTTATTTTTGCATAATTAATAGATAATTTATTTTTCCAAAATCTGTTAACCGCTTTAATGTTATTTGCTATGCAATTTTAAATCACATAATTCATCATGTAACTGATAAATAATATAGGTCTAAGTAAACGAGACTGGGGCACTTAATGTTTGATTAACATTAAATTACTTTATTTTTGTATTTTTACTACTCGTGTTTCCGTTAATAAGTAAGTTTTAAACTATATTAATGCATTAACAGTTATTCCAAGCATTTTCATTTCACCTATTAATACTGGACGTTATATTGAGTCGAAGGATTTCTCTATATCCGAGAAATACGTGATATTATTTTAACATCCAAGGACTTATTTATATTAAACGTAAAGTTTATAAATCTTGTTTAATATTCAACTCAAACTACTTATTAGAAAAGTTTATTCAAATAGCTTATTAATCTGTTTTTAACTAACTGTTTTTCAATTTTTGAAAATATTTATAACAGAGAAATGGGTCTGTAAATTACTACTTATTCTTTTTATATAGGTATCCCGGTGGGTCAGTGGTAAACTTCTGGACTTATAATGCTAAAATTCAGGGCTCGATATGTCGCGGTGGACAGATTGCAGATAGCCTATTGTGTAGACTTGCGTTATAAAACCAACAAAGTTCTTTTTTTTTCATAATCTTTTGGTGGCTCGGTGGTGATATTAAGGGATTATAACGCTAACATTCAGGGGATCGATTCTTGTGGAGAGCACAGAGTACATAATTCATTATTGTTATAAGCGCAAAGCTTTACAGTGGGTTTTACCACCCTGTATAAATCGCAGGGATCGAACACTAAGTGCTAGGATTATAACTTCGTATGCTTACAGCTGAGACACTGGGAGGACGGCCCATTGTGAGTTTTTGCATTAAAACAAACAAATGCATTTTTTAGTATTTGTTTGGAATTACCAGTTGAGAAAGACAAGCAATGAGTACGTACCAATGGATTTAAAATGTAACACTGACACCATCATAACTTAAAAGTTTCCCCTTTTTTGTGAACTCATAAACGTACTTTTAACTTTTTTTATTACACGTGAGACTTATTAACATTTTCTTAGTTACCTTATAACAAACTTTTGTAATAGTTTCTGTATCATTTATAAGATAATTATTAAACCCTTTTGATAACTTTCTAAAAATTCTTCTACACGGACATTATAAATTCAATCTGCCATTACTATTTTTTGTCGTTCTACTATTAAATCTATTGATAAAATTCCATGCTTTTTAAGGATTTTAAAAAATTCATTTTTATGATATTAATTTTGAACTATTTTAGCTTTTGATTTTTTAGCAGACTTTAAAAACTGTCTTCGCGATACTGATCATATGGATGTATTTATATTTTTATTTACTTTTAGATCCGATATTCATAATCAATTTGTCATCTTTACATCTCTAGATACATCATATTTATTATATTTTGGTTTTTATTTCGAGTATGGTACAAAAATAGATGCCAGTAAAATTTTAACAATTACTATTCGTGGGCTGTTTCCATTTAATCTTTAAATTATAACTACATGTCTCGCTAGTTGGCTAACTTATATTTAATTGAAATCCAAACATAATAAATACATTTAGATGAACATTTACTTAGAATTTCTTCTGATAAATCAACATTTATATCACCAACATGAATTACATTATGAACCTTAGTATTATAAAATATTGTTTCTAAGTCTTCTCACCAGGTGTCAAAATATGAGATCTGCAGAGACACGATGCAAAACATACCCTGTCTTTTGAAATATATATTTAAATTTTCCACGGCTGTAATTTTAACATTTTCAATTTGTTTCATTTTTCTCAGAAATTTCACATTTACCATTGCTTTCCCATTCCTGTTATGTACAGTCAACAATTATATTGCTTTCCTATTCCTGTTATGTACAGTCAACAATTATATTGCTTTCCAGTTCCTGTTATGCACAGTCAACAATTATATTGCTTTCCTATTCCTGTTATGTACAGTCAACAATTATATTGCTTTCCCATTCCTGTTATGTACAGTCAACAATTATTACTCATTAGTTTCATGGATACTTGATACAAATATTTCTTCATAATTTACATTATAATCTAAATTATCCAATAAGAGTACAGTTTTTTTCACAATTACCTCTTAAATATTTTTTATTTATATGTAATAATTGTATTTGCTTTCCATTTACATCCTAGAAAATTAAACCCTTATCAGACTTTGTATTAAAATCTTGCTGGTTTTCATCGTTCATTTTGTTCCATAATTCTTCCTATATTTTCTTATTCCCGATATTTTGAGATTTCTGACTTTCATGTAAGCACTTTTCCTTCCTTACCCACACATGTTTAAACTCTGTGCCATGTTTAACTCTTTTTTTTTTACTTTGCACAATAACTGTTTCGTAGTAGGTATTTGTTGTTTCTTTGTATTCCTATCACCTTCTAACCATTTACTTCTCACTACTTAGTATCTAAAACTCCTTATTATAGGTTTAGTACTGTCTCTGTTTACAGTTGGAACTCTGTATACATCCTCTATATCATCCTCATTAATCTCAATATTAATCTTATCTGTAAGTTTGGGCACAGTGTTATAACATATTTTCTCTATTTTTCTGGCATTCCTATAATTTTGAAATGTTGATTTCTGTAGTATTGATTCAAGTCATAAACCTCCTATTAAATTAATATTAACATTTTTGTCAATTACAATTAGTTCATATATTATACGAATAACTTCATCTATCTTATTTGATGAGATATTTAAATTCAGAGGTATCCTTTAACTATTTTTTAACTATTTTTTCAGCATTTTTTGTACCTCAGCTTCAGGTATGCTTTCGGTACCTGGCTTAGCTGTAATAATGTCTTCCACACGAGGTTTAATACAAGGATGTTCTCAATTACTCGTACTTGGCAGCTTCTCGATATTATCATCACCTTGCACCTTGCACGTGACGACTTTCCTTAAATTTTCATTAAATACGTTTCCCTTTCCTTTAATGTTTTACGGTACTGAGATTCTTCATATGATGCTCAGTAAAATTACTGTTTCTCATCTGTACACACCGTCACCGATGGCTCATTACATGAGAGAAACAAGGATAAACTGTCTTGTTTGAGGTTAGGCAACTTGGTACTTATCAATCTTCAAAGTGACCAACAAAAACAAAATGGTATGCAGCCACTATATAAAGCTTAGTTGGAATGACCAGTCATTTACACTTCAGGTCACATAGCTAGTTATCAGATGCTTGGAATGACGAGGGAGGTGAATGACATTATTTTATAACAGTGACTTTGCTTTCTCATAGCTGTAATATAACAAATTCCGATTAACCTTTAACTGTATTTTGTATAGTATGTAAGATTGGAAATACTGATCTGTACTACTCATGAATGGATGAATAAATTAACTAAATTATATATAAGAATTAGCACACAAAGTTACACTTCTTATTTTAGGATGGACTGTGTAGAGTCATAGGTCTTATCTAAGGATGTACTGTGTAGAGTCATAGGTCTTACCTAAGGATGTACTGTGCAGGATCATACTATTCACCTATGTATGACTATGTAGAGTCATAGGTCTTACCTAAGGATGTACTGTGTAGAGTCATAGGTCTTACCTAAGGATGTACTGTGCAGGATCATACTATTAACCTATGTATGACTGGTGTAGAGTCATAGGTCTTACCTAAGGATGTACTGTGTAGAGTCATAGATCTTACCTAAGGATGTACTGTGTAGAGTCATAGGTCTTACCTAAGGATGTACTGTGCAGGATCATACTATTCACCTATGTATGACTGTGCAGAGTCATAGGTCTTACCTAAGGATGTACTGTGCAGG